GACCTCTGCCCCTAGAAGAGTGCTGTCCTATCAGTCTCTAAGGCAACCAAACTCCTTTAGCAGCGTGGGACTAGGGATGGGAACCAACAACAAAGAATCCCTCTTGGGTGCTCCCTATCTTTATGGTGTCTTCACTGTCCCGGGAGGTTAGCAAAATAGCCCAACACCAAGTACATCAGGTATATGAATAGTAAGGCCAAACCAATGAGAAATGTGAATTGGGGATCAAATTTCAAACAGCTGAGCTTAAGCTCTGCCATTGCTCAGGATGGCTGTTCAGAAAAGACAGAATATTCTCCATGGCTGAAGAGCAGGGCTGCCTAAAGCAACTGAGAGCTGAGGGTTGCCATATATACAGTCCCAGGCCTGCATCACAGAGCACAGGGGAGTCTCAGAGGGCTTCCGAGGGTGGGAAGGGGACAAGAGGAGGAGGATGTGGCACAGCCCCTCCCCCACCAGCCCAGGAGATCCCACTGCCCCTCCTGGGTCCTCTGGGTTCCTCTGCCCTCCCCTGCCATCCTGTTTTCAAACTCCACCCTTTCTTCATACCATACATTTGCCTCTGTGAAATTTTCTGTTGGTTTCATCCGCCATCCAGATATTACCTGAGTCCCCTGTTACTGTGCAGAGCCCTTGACTCGGACCTAGAAAGTCTGAAATACTCCCTGCAATTTCGGCTCATTCCCAGACATCCATACGCTCTGGATCACACACATCCTCAAATCTAGGGTAGCTGCAGAATGTTTTGCCTTCCACTAACCCAGACACAAAGCCTAAAGTTCGTTTACACTTACTTAGTTTAATGAATGTTGAATAGCAAATTTTTTGTTTTAAAGTCAGCCTTTACTGTTTCCAATCAGAGTGGCTGACTCAAATAATTAAAACTAATAATTCACTATTCAAATCCATAAAACCAAAAGAAGTAGTAAAATAAATGTATATAATTAAAACTTCAAGAGATCTTTGGAGTAAATTTATAGCCTTTATTTTCTGAAGTCAGTGAAGCTTAAACTGTACAAAGACTTTTGGGACATACTTCGTACACACACACACACACACACACACACACACACACACACACCCTGTGACAAATCAATCAGTATTTTCAAACCCAGGAACCAATCGTTTCCTCCTTTGATTTCAATCTTTCATTATTATATTGTCCACACTTTTTCTAACCCTACCGAAAATACAGATAGTCCCAGCCCTCTACATCAATTTCCTAACAGGTGTGTGACTCTCCCAAGCCAGGCCTATGTCACAGTATGCTAAGCTAATGACTCTCTCAGTCCTTCGTGGCAGGGTGGGACCTGGAGTGGCAAAGCCTCGTGGCAGAGTCTAGTCTTGAGCAGCCTCACCTGATTATCCTATGGCCCCTGTCAATGTGATCTTTGTCATTTAATAAATACTTACTTCTGGAAACTAGGGGACAAAAACACCTGTAAGTTGGGACTCTGCCCTTGACCTCATAATGCAGTTTTAGCATTAAGCTAAAAGAGTAATACTATAAAATCTGTTATTTGTGGCAAAAATGTAGAAAAATTAGCCTATGGTATGTCATCAGTTAATTAATAAAATAATAGTTTTTTGGGAAAAAAGAAAAGCAGAGAGATAGCAACACATGCAGTTTTTTTGCTCAGCAAGAGATGCTTTCATTCCTTGGATTTGAATTGTCAAATCAAAAAACATGTAGTTCATGTCGAGGTCAAACTGCAGAAAAAAAGTACATAAAGATGTTTATCCAAGCTTTATTAGTAACAGGGAATAATGCCCGAGTGTTTCACAGTAGGAAGTTGGGACATGATATTATTGTAGCATTATGCAGCCATTAAAGCTGATGTTTCTGAAAAGCTTCTAATAACATTGAAAAACTGCTATGTTATAATCTTGGGGGAAAAAACATAGAGTAAAAATTGAACCCTTCTATGACTTCAGCTACATTAAAATATGTCTCGATAAAACAGCCAAAGGGAGTAAAAACTCCCATTGCCTCAAATTGCCTGAAAGCCAAGGGGCACTGCCCGTGCCCGTGGAGGGCGGGCCCGGGAGGACAGTGGCTGCTGACTCCCAGCTCGGTGGCAGGACCTGGACCCTCAGTCATCAGTGTCTGGTTTCTCCTTCCATGTGAATTCGGGTCAGAGAATCCCGTGATTTGTAGGAAGCAGCCCTGGCCTCACTCTAGGGTGACTGGCCTTCCCTTCTTGGAAGACAGAGCGATTGTCATCAAGGCTGGCTGTGACGCAACCTGAGAGCTGTGCAGAACTCTATGGGGCTCACGCTGGGGCTGGGGCCTCAGAAACCAGCGGTGGCATGGAGGGGGAGGGGTAGAGAGGAAGGAAGTTCTCAAGATGTTCTGTTTACTCATGTCC